CCCCAAGACCGGCGGCGAGGGGGAGCTGCAGCTGCAGCTGGCGCTGGCCATGAGCAGAGAGGTGGCTGAGCAGGTGAGTGTCGGGCAGGGAGGGCGGATGGCTCACGCTCACAGCGGTGACAAGGACACACAGCTCCCAGCACAAGACGTTCCAGCTGTGCCAAGACAGTACCTGACGTCACCCCGTGGTGCTGCTGTCACCCCACCCACGGTGGGGAGTCCAGGAAATTGCACTGGGGAAAGGTTCGGGGAAGTCGTCGGCGAGGCAGGAGACTAGTCAGAGCTGCTTCCCAGACACGCGTGCAGGCCCAGCGGACCCCGGGCTCTGCCTGAGTGTGGCGGAGGGTGGCCCATGGGTGTGGGCCGGGGCACGGGTGGCTGGGCCCCCACCAGGGCAGCTGGCGGAGCTGTACAGGAAACACACAGAAATGCTAGAAGGAAACGCTCCAGGAAGTGAGAGGCTTATGTTTCGTATGTTTTGATGATGAAGTATGTTTTAATTTTTTTTCAGTTCCCTTTTTTTTTTGAGAGGTTTTTGCTATAGGGCACGTGCACTCATCAGAAAGACAGAGAGAGAGAGAGAGAAAGCGAGAAATCTCCCCCTGGGGGGGATGGCCACGCCGCAATCCCTTCTCCTCCATTCTCCTCTCAGGATCTTGGGCACGCATGCACACACGTGCCCGGTGTGAGTTTAAGCCACTGGGTCTGGGACTCGAACCACGGTTGGCTACGTGGGAGTCGAATGACATAGCCATTACGCTAACTGCTAGCTCCAGTTCCTGTTTTTCTTTAGTACACATACATTCCTTTTGATTTTTTTAGAGAGATTTTTGCTATAGGGCGCATATGCTCACCAGAGAGACAGAGGCAGAAAGCGAGAAATAACCCCCACACACACCTCCGCCTTGGGGGAATGTCCACACAGCAATCCCTTCTCCATTCTCCTCTTGGGATTCTGGGTACGCATGCGCACGCGCCCGGCGCATACCCATCCCTCACACAGTGACCTTTATCTTACGATGCTCTTTCATAGCGTGTCAGTTGTTGTTATGCGCTTGTTAGTGCTATTTATTTATTACTACTTTTTCATTCTTTTTCTTGAGAATTACTTTATCTGAGTTTCAAGCCACCAGGTCCAGGATTCGAACTGTGATCAGCTACATGGGAGTCCAGTGGTGTAATTGTTACACCATCTGCTGGTCCCTGTACATTCCTTTTTAAAGTACAAATCAAAGATCAACAAGTGGGGCCCCTAGGTGGCGTGGTGGTTAAGGAGCTGGACTCCCATATGGCCAACTATGGTTCGAGCTCCAAACCTGGCAGCTTCTTTTCTCACTTTCCCTCTCTCTCTCTCTTTCTCTCTCTCCGGTCAAATTATGAAATAATAATAATGTTAATAAGTAAAATTAATAAGTCTTGAAAAATCAACAGATAACATGGTGTGTTGTCCTTGCGTGCAGTGTGATGTTTTGAAGTACCTAGACGGTGTGGAATGGTGGCGTTTTGCCAAGTGTCAGAGCCACGCCTACTTGCTGCTTTGTGGTCAGAGCTCAGGACATCCGCTCTGCAGTGTTCAGGACACTGCCGCCACTGCCCACCTCGCCGCGCATGCTGTGTGGTGGCTCTCTCTCTCGAAGAAGAAGAATTATTTAATTTTATTTGTTGTTATTATTACTGTTTTTAAATATGACCACAGAGGTACAGAGAGGTAGGGAAGTGAGAAAACAAGCTCCAAGATCCAGGACTTGAACCACAGTCAGCCATGTAGGAGTCCAGCGCCTTAACTGCTATGCCACCAGCCGGGCCTGCAGTGGCTCTCTTGAGGCACACAGTGCTCTAAGACAGGCGAGGAGTGAAAGGCCTGATTGGCAGGACCTTAAAACATCAGCCCTGAGACTAGCAGGTGGTGTAATGGCTATGTCGCTGGACTCCCATGTGGTCCACTGCGGTTCGAGTCCTGGATCCAGTGGCTTAAACTCATGTCGGATGTGCGTGCATGCGTGCCCAAGATCCCGAGAGGCGAATGGAGGATTACGGCGTGGCCATCCCCCCTGGGGGGTGATTTCTCACTTTCTGTCTCTCTGTCTCTCTCTTTCTGGTGAGTGCATGCGCCCTGTAGCAAAAACCTCTCAAAAAAAAAAAACAAATCCCTTTGGTTGCAGTTGTCAGAACTGTGTCTCCAGCATTTGGCTAAGAGGGGCAGAAGGAGCCAGGAATAGCACAGGGACCCCTGACTGAGGAGGTGAGGTTGGGGCAGTCGGGTTCCAGGGCCCCTGGCCAAGGAGGTGAGGTCCGGGCAGTCACTTCCGGCACAGAGCCCCGCCCCAGGTTGTGTGTCTGTCACTGGCAATGTCCGAGCTGGGGAGTAGCAGCCGTGGCCTCTGTCCCTGAGGTAGACAGCGCGATGGGTTAGGCCTGTCCGTGTGGGTGCACAGGCGGACGGCCCAAGCCCACGGTGGGAGCGCGTCTGTTTCGCCATTGTCGTCAGTCCAGCCTGCGCTCATGTGACTTCCTGAAACGAGCGCAGAGACTCGCTTGTCAGAAAGCATAGAAATACGCAGCTTTTCTGGAAGCGTCCCCAGTGGGAGATGGCACGACATGTCACTTCCACCCTCTGATTCCTTTCTGGGTTGTCAGACTCGTGTTTCTGAAGGAAATGTGCCATTTCCATAAGTAGAAAACCCGCAAAGCGCAGGTATTGGAGAAGAAGCACCTCCTCTCCCCGGTGAGGTGGGGCCTGAACCACTGTCCCCTGGGGGTGCGGGGGGAGCCATGCAGGGTGCAGGGAAGAGGGGCGTCTGGGTCCCCATGTTCAGCGTCAGCACGTCCTGTGTCCCCGGGTGTTTGGAGGCCACATGACAGGTGCGGTCGGCACGCGGTGGCCGGCTGGTGGCTGTGTCCCGTGCAGGGACGCCAGCGCAAGCCCCTCCAGCGTCACGCTCACCTTGTCCCTCCACAGGAGGAGCGGCTCCGCCGGGGCGATGACCTCCGGTTACAGATGGCCCTCGAAGAGAGCCGGAGAGACACGGTCAAAGTTCCGAAAAAGAAAGAGGTAAGAGCTCACCCGGGGGAGGGAAACCGGCCCTCGCTGCCACAGCGCCCCCGCCTACTGCACACGCGGGACACACAGGGTCCCCAGCTTCAGCCGGCACCCCCGTTCCCTCAGCCGAAAACCAAGCTGGTGGCGGTGCTGCTGCCGCGGCCATGGCAGCCGGTAGCTGAACTGGGTGTCCGGGGCCCTGGTACACCTCCCTGGATGGACGAGCCCTGGTGCTGGTCTCTGCCATCACTGTGGGCGCTCCAGCCAGACTTCCGGCTGCGACGTGGCGGTGGCCGCATGGGCTCTGCCCTGACAAGCGCATCATTGCCTGTCACAAGGCCCGGGGCCCCTGTGGCCTCCCTGGCACGGTGCCACGGGCTCCCTGATGGAAGACGGGATAGTCACCAGAGCAGGGAGGGTGGGGTGAGCGCCTCGGAGCGTGGGCCCTCGGACAGGGCAGGGCCTTGTGGAAGGAGGGAAGCCGCAGCCTGGGCAGAAGCCAGCGCTGTCCACGGAGCCCCAGGAGCTGTTCGAACGCTGCCGAGACAGGGATTGCTTGGTGTGGCCCTGGGCTGCCCTGGAGGCGGTGCGGTGGCGGGGCTGTGGGACGGGCAGGAGATGGCGGCTTTGGCCTCCCCTGGCGGGCCTCTCCCTGCCTGGAGGCATGAGCCGTGGTCCCGGCTGACGCTGAGACTGCAGCACGCTGAAACCTGCTCCCTCTGTGTTGAAGCACGGCTCCCACCCGCCGCAGACCACGCTGCTGGAGCTGATGGACGCGCTGCCCGGCTCAGGCCCTGCTGCCCCGAAGGCGGAGCCCTGGGGCCTGGCGGCCTCGGCTAACCAGACCAACCCCTGGGGTGGACCGGCCGCTCCCGCGGG